TTTTCCTTTCTCCAGTGGGAATGTGTGGGCCGCATCGAGGTAGGCACGAGGTAGGCTGTGGCCCAATTCGGGTGGTGATCGCCGGTAAATCAGCAAGAGGAGAGGAAAGGTGGTAGCCCAGAGGTGTCGCTGGCTTAACTGTGACAAGCTGCTGGATGGAGAGAAATTCATCACACATGCCTCGGCCCCCTTTAAACAGATTCCAGAGCTTGTCTAATTTGCATTATTAAATGACTTGATGGATTTCTTGTTACATTTTCTCATTAGAAATCAGTCAGGCATAACTTATCGTTTTAAAGGAAATGCAGCTAGAACGTTCTTTAAAGGACAAAATTTGGGTTTTGATTGTCGTAGTTAAGACAGGAAAACCGTCATAACCGGAATATAATAAATGGCAAATTAATGCACTGAAAAAGTATCTGACCACAGGCAGTAAGTGGTTTCGCTGCCCTGATGAGAAATCAGCCCCTAATCTCACTGGCCTTTTGGTTTCCGGTTGGAGATGTTTCCATTCCCACTTCCCTATCCCTCCACCAGCCCCATGCATCCCTGCGAAAAGCTCCAAACCCTGAAGCACAGCAAAACTAACAGGAGGTTTTCACCTACTGGAAGTCATAGACAACGAGTTGTTGTAATCTGATCTGACGCATTGCAACATTTACACTTTCGCTGCATTTATAACCAGTTTGACTAAGCAGGTTTGGTAGGAGCAGCCTTTTCCTTCCAGTGGAACAGAAGCCCATCCTTTGAGGGCTTGGGAAAGCATAGCGGGACCCACCGAGGTACGCAGAGAGCCCTGTGCAGCCACGTTAGCAGACAGATCCCCTCCCCGCAGGCCCCCAGTCACTGGGGCACATAAGCTCCTTTGCAGCAGAGATTACAGCAATTTGTACGCAGTGACACAGCCTAATCCCCCAGGGCGGACGCCGGCGCAGGTGCAGGAGAGCTGGCCCTCATTTCCCTCCATGACAAGAAAGCACAAGGAGAGAGGCGGAAATCTGGGGCCAGCGCAGCGCCCCTGGGCAGCTGAGAGAGTCCGGCGGGCAGGCAGTCCCGTAGGCGTTCGCCTTCCTGGAGGACAGATGCTGGCATCAGAATGCCTCTGAAAACCCACCATTCCCCTTCCCTGTTGTCCTCCTCCAGCTGACCCTTCAAGGGCACAGGACTGAGGCAAACTGTGACTGTCATCGTGCTCGATCACACACAGCAAAGGGTCCACGTCCCTAGTCTGTGGGGACTGAAGACTCATGTTAGCTGTGTCCCCTGCACCTGCGGTCCGAGTGGCAGACAAAGCACAAGCCCACTGAGCCGGCACTGAGCTTGGTGGAGAGGACAGGTCAAAAGGCTGGGCAGGAAGGGGGCACAGAGATGGAGAACTTGACCCACTGGGCTGGTGGAGCTCAGGGAGACTAAAGAAAGCCGTTTTGGAGGGTCAGGGCTACTTCTGTGCCCTGAACTCAGGAAGGGTCCCAGCCGTGGTGCGCCAGCAGCACCTGCCCCTTCTGCTCTCAGCACTTGGCAAGAGGGAACGCACCTCCCTCACTCCCAGGCTGCCAGCTTTGCAGTCAAAGGGGGACTGTCCCATGACATGTACTTTGTGACTGCAGCCCTGTCTCCAAACATCAAAGTCCTGGAATGCTAGGGTCCGTGTGCATATTGTGGCCTCATGTTGGCCCAGAAGAACAGTGCTGGAAAAAAACAATCCCATCTCCCAGAGGAGAGGTGCACTCCACATCTATCTACTCTGCGAGACAGGGCTCTCCTACTCCCATCAGGCAGGGCTCCCACGCCACGCGCACACCCACAAGGCTTGGGAAGCCCAATCGGCCCCACCTTGCCCTCCAGAAACATGTCCGCCAGGTCATCAGAGCTCCAGGTCCCTCTGTCCAGCAGCAAGAGGCTCACTGGGGCCCTTCTGTCCAAGCAAACAAGCATGTGGTTCTCATTTGCATACATGAATTATTTAAAATGCTACCGACCTAGCTCGTCTAGGGTTTACCTTGCCCCTTCCCCACCAGGCCACACAGACCTGGTAGTTCTTTGTGGGAGGGCCCCCGGGTCTGGATGGCTGGAGGGAGGAGGAAGGCTCCATTTCGCGCCTCTGCACCCGTGTGGCCTTCCCCCTTCCAGCCATGCTCCCCAGGAGTCTTCTTTTTTAAGGACTGTTGAAACAAGTTATCTGGTTTGTGGGGTTATGGGCCCTTTCAATACTTTTCTGTATTTAAAATACAGTAATGTGCACGAAGTATAAAGTAACAAGTGAATCAAAGAGTACAACCGGAAAGCCTTCAGAGCTTTGGGAGAAGCAGCCATTATTTCCAGGTCACAAGTGTGCGTGGGCCACATGGCCACAGTGAATGCAGTGGAGGGGAGGTGGGCCACGTGGACTTTCCACAGCAAGGAACACACAAGATGGAGAGGTGTGCGTGAATGGCAAGGCTGGGGACAGTGGAGGACACGGTCATCCTAGACAAGAGGGCTCGACATGCCTGGGGACCAGGGGAAGAGTCCAGTGATGAAGACGTGATCACATGACCACAGAATTAAGTCCTGCCGTGTCATCTCTGCACTGTAAGGGTGCGCGGAGGCACCAGCGTGGATGATGGGAGAGTTTCAGTTGGCTCCTGGAGTGTCAGTCCAGTTGGCCAGCAGAGTGGTGTGCAGGGAGAGTTCCAGACTGAGGTCTGAGTAGGAAAGACCCTGATGTCCCCACGAACTCGGGAACCTGGTTTGATTGGAGGGGGTTCCTGAGGAGGGGGCCTCCAGGGCCCGCTCTCTGGGCAGGAAGGCATTCAGGGACCCTGGCCCAGCTGAATGAGGACAGGCCAGGAGGAAAGGGAACCAGGATAACAGTGGGCGCAGAGCCCAGGTATGGCAGGACCAGGAGAGGGGACCAGAAGGAAAGGGTTCAGCAGCCTTTCTACTTTTTTTTTTTTTTTTAAGATTCCATTTATTTATTTGAGAGAGGGGAGAGAGAGAGGGAGCATGCAGGGGTGAAAGGTAGAGGGAGAAGAACAAGCAGACTGCCCACTGAGCGGGGAGCCCAATGTGAGGCTCAACCCCGAGATCATGACCTTAGCTGAAGGCAGATGCTTAACCGAATGAACCACCCCGGTGCCCCTCAGCGGAATCTTGAGGAAGGGAGGGCAGCACCTCCATAAATATCCACATGGCATCAGGAAGAGGAACGGACTTGAGCAAGAGTGGGAGTAGGAAGGAAATGATGAACTTTAACATAGTGTCACCAAGATGCTGGACAGACATTCAAGCCCGACAAGGCCACAGCACATACACACCCCGTCCTAAATCCCGACGGCTGGCTATTATGATAGAGGATTTAAATTACTTTGTCATCAAGGTGTATACTGTGCTCTTCCTTACTGAGGAATAAAAATGTGCTTCTTTACAAAGAAAAACTAAACAGTCCCACCAAGTAAATGACAATTAGGCTGAATGACAGCAATCCCTACTGAGAGCACGATGTTATTATACTGGGTCTCAACTGTCATTACACAGTAAGTAGCTGTCCTGGGAGGGGGACTGGCTTCCACAAAGCCTGCTACCTTGACATCAAAGGTCTTACTTTTTTTGATTCTTGGATTATATACCAACTGTACACAATTTATCCGGTAGTTAGATCTACCCTAAAGCCCCGAGAGCGTTCGCGCACACAGCCTCACGTGGGCGGCTGTTACGATGCCGGCTCTAGTGGGCCCAGCCGGGCCCACCCTGGGGGCAGGAAGGTGCGCGCGTACAAAGAAGCCAGATGAGGCTGAGAATGGGTTTGAAGACCCTTGTTCTAGGGAACACAGATTCGGCAAGCTGAGGAGGAACATGGGACAAATTCATTCCACGGGGAAACAGAGGAAGAGGCGCTTGGAAGTTTCATTTCATGCCCAAGCTTCAGTCTACACAAAATATTCCCCTCAAATAACTTGGAAACCTTTAGAAATCAGTGTTTCAGTTTTTTACTCTCCAAATGTAATACAATTTTTTAGCTAAAACGGGAGTAATGAGACAAAATGGTCCTGAAAAGTACAATAGAAAAATACTGTTCACTGGTTTATTTTCCCGAATGAGAATAGACTATTTACAAATGAGCAGATCTCCAACGATGTGCATTAAAATGGCAAGTCTATTACTAACTGAAATCTAAATGAAAAAAAAAAAAATTTATTAAGGCACATTTGATCCGTGAGTTGAAAACAAACAAAAGGTTCTGGTGTCATGACAGACTTCATTTCACTTTTGTCCCCAAAACATGCGAGCACCGAAATTGTCAAAGAACACTTAGTATTTAGTAAAACAGGAAGGAATGTAAAAATTGAGGAGGGAAAAAGCGTTTTCGAAAGGAAATCTTTGGAGATCAGTTTACTGCAAATAAAAGAACACTAGACACACTCCTGATACACATACTGGAGAAATGACAGAGCTCTAAACAATGGATATTAAATAAATTAAAGGTATTTCGGATACAAAGAATAAAACAAAACAGTAATTAAAGAATGAAACAACCATCTCCACCAATAATGTAACACAGACAAGATGAAGTGAACAAAACCAAAATACATTTTCCCCCCAATGCTTCCATTAGGGCGGGTTTTTGTTTCTGTTTTAGCTTGTGTACGTTAGATTTATTACAATAATTCTTCTTTGTCATTCTAAATATTAATAATAGTTTACCCTTTAAAGAGAAGGGTCAGGAGGAGGAAAAAAAACAAAACAAAAAGACAACAAATCCTTCTTGGAATTGAAATCCGTTAAGCCACACGAACGACCACAAGAACAGCCACACATCTAACTGTGCCGCTCCTTCTCCCCCTGCTTTTAAAACAATATGTGACCTTAATGAGCACAAGTTTGGGGGAAAGAATCAATTTTGGAACGCTCTCCCAACAGTGATGATACGGCTATTAATCACATTTCATTATTTTACAACTGGAACACAAAACGGCTTGGGGAAAAAAAAAATTGTCGTAAAAAAAAAAAAAGACAAAAGGTAGAATCTGTGCAATGTTAACAGTTACAACAAAACTTTTACCAGAGTTACAGTGTTCTGTTACAATAATACTTTGCAGAACTGTCATGTTTTCTGCCAGAGGACTGGCGGGAGGGGGGTCGTCTGAAAAGGAAATGCGTAAAAGAACAAAACCAAGTAAGTTTTGTTCATCAGGTACATTTCAAGTCATCATTAAGCAGGTCTGCTACACAACGTTCAGCAAAAAAATGTGTTCAAAGGCAAACATGATCACATTTTTGTTCAAAAAGCTCAATCATCAAGGAGTCCTTTGTAAGAAAATCATGTGTAAAATATATCCTTGTATGGACTTCAAAAACTGATCATACAAAAAAATTTTTGAAAAATAAATTAGATAATTAAAAACGTCTCTTCCAGCAGAGCTAGACGTTAGGCTGTCCTCATGGAGCCATTATTGCTGTTTTTACTGTAACTTGGGTCATGTTTTTCCAGCCACATCTCAGCTAGCTGCTGCGTGGACCCATATGTGGACGCTTTGGACCCCAAGCACATTTTGTACTGTTTGGGATCGAGATTGGGATCACAAAAGACAGGATGGTGGACGTGGACCACTCCTACTTCTTGGCTTCTGAACGTCTTCAAACCTGCCTGGACAACCTTGTTGAAAAGGTCCACGTCCTCGAGCCCCCAGCCCTGGATGGAAATGTCAAAGCCACCGACTCGGACAAGGTCACCCTTGTAAATGCAAGTAACGCCAAACCCATAGTTTCTCCAGAAGCCGGTTTTCTGAGTGAAGGCAAAATGGTTATCGCTGGGAGCCTTCCCACTATAAACAATCTTTGGATCGTACTGGCTAAAGATGATTGGAAAATATATTTGTTGGCCCAGAACTGTATTTGCTCGACACCGCTGAAGGAACTCTGTAGTAAACACGAGGTCAACGTCACAGAAAAACAGCAAAGATTCGTTCTTGAACTGGGAAGACCCCACTTCAAGGGCCAGAGCTCTCGAAAACTCTCCAGACACGGGCAGAATCTGCATGTCCGCTTTGGGGTACTTGATGCGATAATCTCTCATGAGTTCAACTTGTTTGGCCTTGTCGGGGTTGGAGTCAGAGTTGAAAAGCAGAACCACGAGCTTGACGTTCTGACTGGGAATGAGACACGTCTTCTCAAAGTTCCCCATAAACCTCACAAACATGTCGAAACGCCCAGACAACGGAATCAAGATATTTATCTTTTTCTCTTTGGGTTCTTTGTGCTCGTTCTTTGACCCAGAGAGCTGAAAGGGCACGAGCTTCTTGAGGGAATTGGAGAGAAAGGACAAGGACCCGGACTCCTGATTGATCTTGCGGGCCAGCTCCGCGGCGTCCAGCTCCTCGTGCTCCACGAACTGGATCCTGCTGAAGGTCTGCTGCAGGTACGCGTGTCTCCGCACGGGCACGGTCATCTTCTTCCCCTTGTGCTTCCTGTAGAGGAGCAGCAGGTCCAGGACATACTCGGCCCCATACATGGGGTTCACCCGGCGGTAGCCGTACTGTATCTCCTTGAAGTCGATGATGCGCCCTCTGGTCTTGGCGTTGGCGTTGATCATCTCCATGACCTGCATGACGATGTCATCCAGGGCCTCCCGCTGGGCGGAGTCCATGCCTCTGCGAGGGGGCTGGCCCTCGGCCGCCGAGTACAAGTACTTGCCGGTCAGAAACTCCCACTCCAGAATCTCCTCCCGCTGGCGGGGCTGGAAGCGCATGAAGGAAGGCGGGATCCCCAGCTGGAGGTCCTCCTTGGGAACCTGGGTGTTGCTGTACCGGCCCATGAGCACGACCTCCCGGTGCAGCTGGACCGTGCGGTGGCGCAGCTCGGCGATCCTGCGGCTCAGCACGTAACTGTGCAGCCGATACTGGTAGGGCGGGCTTTTGTTGGGGTGCAGGGTGATGGCTCGGTGGATTTTACTGTTATGGAGATCCCGAATGTAGCCCTTCTTGTTCTGTTCGTAATTCTCATAAAAAAGCTGCTGCATCTGTTAAGAGAATAAACACAGAAATATGGCTATTTTAGTGTTATGTGACTCTGTCCTTCTATTTCTGCTATTCCTTACACACCTGCATGGTCTTTAAAAAAAAAAACCAAAAGTCTAAATATGAGAAATCTTTGCAAATGAGCCACAGCATACCGGAGGCCTGAGGTAAAAGCCCAGTCTCCCGCAGTCCAATGAGATGAGAAGAAGAAGAAATGCAAACTGCTTCAAGAAAGAAGGCTCATCGATAAGCAGAGCTGGCCGACAGAATTCTGCGGGCAAACAGAAGTGTGAGAAAGTTTTCTTACAGGAAAAGGGTGATCCTGAGACCGCAGGGCACCGAGTGCGCACACCTGGAGGAAAGGCCCTCTGCGTCCCCACCAAGCCCCTGTAAGGAACCCAAGCGCCAAGGCCCCCTCCCCTCACTGAAGGCTGGCATCCAATGAGAGCCGCCGTCCTTCTGGAACAGCAGACCCTGCAGCGACGTGGTCTAGGAATAAACTGCACTGACAGAGTGAAAAGGAAAGCTCCAGGAGTATGACCTGACCCAGGATTAATGCCGCTGCCAGTGAGCTAAAGAGAAGGAAAGGGAAGAGGCCGGCCATCGGGAGGGGCACGCCATCTGTGACACCAAGACGCTGCTCACTGGAAGTGCACGTGCTGAAAATCCTTTCAAATGCCTGCCAGTTCCTGTGTCAAGTGCGCCCCTCCCCCACAGCCTCTGTGCAGGCATTGGGGGAGGGTTGGGGTGGGGGGCGAGGGGTGTGTCCTCTGTGCTCAGCACCAGCACAGCGACAGGCTCAGAAATGTTGAGGTAAGAGGCGGGCAATTCCACCAACTTGCCCCCGTCCTATGATACAGGTTTGGGGGCAGGGAGGACAAAGGGTGGCGGTCCATCAGCCCCAACGGGGCCATGTTCCCTCAAGTTAGACAGGGAATGTACTTAATTCCCTTGAACAACCGAGCAACAAGATGATTGGTGAGTGTCTACAACACCTTCTGGAACAAAGAATAAAAACCTACAAAAATCATTACAATGAGTCCCGTTGTATTTGTGGTTCATTTTTGGGTTTTGTTCACATTGCTAAATACTAACTCTTGATAGGGTGATATGTATTTGAACCAGGCAGTTTACTTATTTACGTTTGGAAAGTCGTATTTTTTACTTTTTTCTTTCCCGACACACAGCAATCACCGTAACAGAAAAGCGCAGGTTAGCATTTTTACATCCCATTTTCTTCTATGCAATACCTCAGGCTACCACTAAATAAAGCCAGTAAGAGTAAAAAGAAGGGAAACACTTCAAAGAATGAGAGAGACAGAGGAATGCAAGCCAGGTTCTGTGCGAGGCCTCCAGCCACATCCACTTGCTCGCTTAATTCTCAGGGACCTGAGAGTCTGGTGAACGATGACCTTCTCAAGGTCAGCTCTCTCCTCTCCTGGACACCTGCGAGGTCTGTCCGCAGACTAGGACTTGGCATGGAATGCCAACATCTCAGAAGGGCCCTCACTCTTTTCAACTTTGCTTCCCACATGGTCTGTGATCAACACAGGACATGGAGACATGGAATCAGCCACTCAAATCACTTCTAAATTTTACAATTAATTAGAAAAGGCAGTCAAAGTTTAAAAGAAGAACGGAAGCGCAGCACATCCAGCTCTGGAGAGCAGCCCCGCCTCTCAGCGTGCCAGGAGGCAATGGGCAAACGCAGGATGCTCACGACCCACGTGCAGGGGCTGCTCTCGGCAGCCAACACAGGCGGCGCCTCCCCACACCTCTGATCTACGGTAAGCTGCGGGACAGTCCGAAGCAAAGCAGCAGTCTGGGGTTTGCTTAGTTGGGAAAGCGTGAAGCAAGGGAGGTCTGAGCTCCTCCAAGGCCTGGCTGTAAGGCCACAGACTTGAGCACGGAGAAAAACTACAGTAACATAAACACCCCATGACAGGGGCTGGGCAAGAACCTGATCATTTGCCTTTCTTTTTATGTGGGTGACAACAAAAGAGGTTTCAGGAACTTCCGCCCCAGGAGTTCACATTCATCTTCCAGCCGGACTGCCTCCTGGGTGCCAACTGTAGGGCTGCAAGGGGACAAGTGAGTGTCCCGTGAGGTTGCCAAGCCAGGAGAAATGAAATCTGCCCGCAGGTTCTAAGGTCCCACCCTTTACCCCCGCGTGCCCCAACAGGAGCCTGGAGGCCCTTCTTCCAGTTTTCGCAAGGTCAGCCTTCAGGACATGCATCCCACAGAGGGTGTGCTATATGATCCCCAAACCTGCCTGAGGACACTGCCTGGGTGCGGGGCGGGGAGGGGGTGCGGCGAACAGACTATGCAAAGGCCACAGCCAAGAAATCAGCACCAGCTCAAGGCCCTTCCACCTTCCATCACAGCCAAGAAATCAGCACCAGCTCAAGGCTCCACGACTAGAACCAATAAAATAACTACTGCATGCAAGATTATGGAGGGCTATGTAATAGTTTTATAGACATTTGTTATAATTACATATTATTTTCATTTTGTCTGCTTATAATTTCCAAATTTCTAACAGTGAGCATGAAGAACCATGACTTGTTTTAAAGGTCCCTCCATTTCCAAGAATGTGAACACACTGAACCTTATAGGTTGCTTTTCAAAATTAGGTCAGAACAGCCCACCCAGCCCAGCTGGGCTCGGGGGAGGGGAGTCCCAGGTCCTGCTCTTCCCAGCAGGGCTTCCCTGTGGGGCTCCCTGCAGAATTTTGTCCTTCCCTCAGGGCCCTTCGACACAGTAGCAAGAATGGTCTTCTTAAAGTACGAATCAGAAGCCTATGGCTAAAAATGAAGTGGTAGAACCCACGATCCTCTCTTCCCAAATACCTTCAGAGAGAAGAAAGAAAAGGAAGGAATAAACTCACAAGGACCAAGAGAATGGGAGAGGAGACACGGGGGGTGGGGGTAAGAGATGACCCCAGATTCAGAGGAAATGAGCTTGAGTGAAGGAAGAGGACATCTTTCTCCCTTTAAAACCCCAGGAAAGATGCTGCGAAAGGCAGGGGTGAAGCCCAGTACCGCACCCAGTGGGACTGGACAAACATGGAAGCCCTGACACCCCCATCCCCTCCCAACATGGCCGGGAGACACTCCCCTCTCCCCACCACAGGAGTGGGGGAAGGAGGGTGGGGGCACATGTCCAGCATCTTCAAAGACAGGCTCCGAGTTACTCTGCCATTTAGACGATGGGGGTGTTGCCAAAACTCACGCAGGACCGCCTCCCAATTGTTGTAACTAAATCAGGACAGGCAAGGAGCAAATATCATATCATTTACAGCAGTTATTCCTGAACATAACTGTCTACAGGTCCTTTCCCCTACTCTTCTTGGGTTAGTTCACTGGTAAGCACGTGAACGTGAACTTCAATTTCTCCTGCAATCTGAAACCTGGACAGGGTGATCAAGGCTGACAACCTGGAGGGAAAAGGAAAGTCTAAAGAGAAGGGCTCCCAGCCCTTTTCCCAACTGGGTCCCAGAATACTCACCCTCCACTGTCCATCCCAAGCAGGGGACTGGATCAACTAAATAGGCCATACACATCTAGAGTCCTCCCACAGAAAGCACCATCCAAACAGCCGGGTCACTACAAGAGAGAGCAGTTTAGGAAATCTTGCCTACAGAGCTTCCAGCTAGCTTCCGCACTGCCTCAGTCTTCCCGGGACCATCCACAGCCACGGACCATCAGGCAGCTGAAAGCCTGGTCCAGCGGGAGAGATGGAGACGAAACAGAGAAACAAGAGCTTGCTGGGAAGAGAAACAATGTGGTGAACAGAAGGAAAACTCAACAAGAGAAACAAAAGACAAACATAGAAGGCATCCACTCAGAAGATAATACACCCATGCAACCAAAACTGAATACTATAAGAAAGTCAGAAAACCGAAAGGCTCTTGAAAATCAACATAAACTAGCAGCACAAAAAAAGAAGAGTAAAATTTGAAAATAAAGTTGAAGAATATCCCAGAAAACAGAAATGATAACAAAACCAGAAAACAGAAAAGTATTCATTCCGCCACGAGAAAGCACAGAAAGGGGAGAAAATAACAATACAGAAAATGGGTTCAGAATAAAAGGACTAGTTGCCTGATTTAAACCCCAACCACCTGGTAGAAAGAATACAAATTCAGAACACCACAAAGAAAGCACTCTGAAAACTTCCCAAGATAAGAAAAGAAGGCCAGGGCACCTGGGTGGCTCAGTGGGTTAAAGCCTCTGCCTTCGGCTCAGGTCATGGTCCCAGGGTCCTGGGATCGAGGCCCGCATTGGGCTCTCCGCTCAGCAGGGAGCCTGCTTCCTCCTCTCTCTCTGACTGCCTCTCTGCCTCCTTGTGATCTCTCTCTCTGTCAAATAAATAAATAAAATCTTAAAAAAAAAAATTAAAAAAGGAAACCTGGTTATTTATTTGACAGAGAGATCACAAGTAGGCAGAGAGGTAGGCAGATAGAAATGGGGAAGCAGGCTCCCCGCTGAGCAGAGAACCCAACGTGGGGCTCGATCCCAGGACCCTGAGACCATGACCTGAGCCGAAGGCAGAGGCTTAACCCTCTGAGCCACCCAGGTGCCCCTCGAATGTATTTTTAAATGCAAAAATCAGCAGTATATTTGAGGAAAAATAAATATCCTTCCAGACAAAGGATGTAGTTGTTATTTGTCCTTTACTCTCTAGAAAACCAAACAGATAACTGCACATCTTACTCTCAGCTATCAAAACCCCACCCGCGGCAAGCGAGCTCCAAGGTCTGGTGTGGAGTACAGGGTCTGCCATGTGTCACTGGTTCTTCTTACCCACTCCCCAGGACACCACAGCCCCAAGCATTTTTCAGGACAATGTTTTTCAACATCTTTTTTTTTTTTTTTTAAGATTTTATTTATTTATTTGACAGGCAGAGATCACAAGTAGGCAGAGAGGCAGGCAGAGAGAGAGGTGGAAGCAGGCTTGCTGCTGAGCAGAGAGCCCGACTCGGGGCTTGATCCCAGGACCC